CTTTATGCACCAAGAGCTTGTAACACTCCAAAGAGAAAGGAAAAATTTCAATCGAATCATATGACCCCTTTAAATAGAACTCCGATTGTATTAGTCTGAAAGAAGAAAGTCATATACATCTATTGTCATATACATCTAGGATGCCTTGAGGGTGCGTATATTATGGGGTAATTTTCATTTTTGGGTGAACTGTCCCTTTAATCTTTTTGACACATTACATACAGTGGAAACAGGAACGTCATGGTCTGCAGAGATGTAGTCTGGAGATTGCCTATTCTTATAAACTCATGTCCGACCTGCTCAGAAAATCCTCTGGTTTCTTTCTTTTGTTCATGTTCACTGCAGCACGCACACGTGAGACAAAACAGGAGAAAGCATAATTTTCTCTATTCAAACTGGTTGAATAAGTAATTTTTATATTTTCAACTCATCACAGGAGAATGTGATTACAAAGTAAACTAAACTTAACCACACTAAAGGAGTCACTGGTTTGAGCGCGGTAACAATATGAACTGCACAGCCCGTCCAAACAACACGAGGAGGACACCACATCAGTTCAGTTATAACCGTTAAACACCTATTAAATACCTGTTAGTCTTTCATTTCCACTTTTTGAATGTTTTCTTCATTTTTTGTTTAAAATAAATGCCTCTCCAAGCTGATATGTGACAGGACGAGGGAGAAGAATGGGATCAGAAAGATTGGGGGGATTCAAACCCCCAATAATTTTGTCTGGTTTAAACCAGACAATGGTGGGGGAAGTTATTGCCATCAAGACAGAGTATTCGCTCTAAGATGCCAATAATACTGTCTGGGCATTTTTACGATTTCTGTGTCTTAAATGTAGTACGATAATGTTTTTTGTGGTGTTATAATCTGTCTACAAATGGCTTGCTTCTAGTTAGAATGGATGCGTCTCACAGAGCAGCATTAAAGCTCAACCGCTGGCATGTATTTGGGGCAGGACTAAAGATGGGCTGAGAAATGTTTATCATTACCTAATATTTTTGGGTTCATTTAGTGAAACACTGTGTGGAGAACATGACTTGATTATTTTGAAGTTGATTTTTATTCTGTTTTACAGCATTTAACAGTTTATTGGTCTTTTTTGAGCTGCTTTACAGCATCACTGAATCGTTTTCTTGTTTTACACTGCAAAGCTGCTTTGAAACAATTTGTTTTGCATAAAGTGCTATTTAAATAAAGGTGACTGGACATTAAACAGTTTGGATCTCTTTGCAACAACTGCTGTTGGGTTGAAATGGGAGGAAATCACTCTTCTACACAATTCACACACTGAGATACAGCTGTTATTGCTGTGTTTCTCTCAGGTTTGTCTGTCACTGCAGTGTGACGTTTATCTACGGTGAGCTCCAGAACTTACCAGCACCACTATTACAACAATGACGGTTAACTTCAGGTTCTTCATACACATGGCGTGGGCCAGGTTACGGCTCGTAGTTTTAAAGGTGACGGACTGCACATACAAGAGGAATAATCATCAGCATACATCCCAGAAAGTGACTTAAACTAAAGTTTAAAACAGCAGCTCACAGAATCCATCAGGTTCTCCGTTTTATCGATGAGCAGCTCGAGTCTCTCTCCTCTCTGAGCGACGAGATCTACAGCAACACAACACAGCACATGTTCACTCGAAGGTTACCACTGACATCTATAATAACTGAATAAAGTGACCGAGTCTCACCGATGTTCCGGACCATAATGCCTTTCAAGTCGTCCACGTGCATCTGTGTTTCTGTCAGTCTGTCCGAGCCTTTGGGATCCGAGTGGTGTTTCTAGCAATAACAGTGAAGCACATGCATGTCAATGCAATCTCTAACGCACTGCTGCTGAAGCTCAGGGATGCTAACCAGACAGCTCCTGGCTCCTTCTGATAATACCACGAAAAGACAAGATTTAACAATGGTCAATGGACACCTGTGTCATGCTGCAGCAAAAGCTGACATTCTTTCAACTTTTGATTTTTTTTTTACTCCTGGGAGACTTGTCAGTGTTGTACCGTTACTTTAAATCACTGTTGGGCTGTGGAAAGTTAAGAGGTGTCTGCTAAATGAACACTTCATTGGCTACACGCCTCTCTAACAAAGACTGGAGAATCTCCGATTAACACAGTCATGTGAAAGCATTCAGTGAGGTCTAAGCTAAAGCTCAACACCATCACAGGCCTCTTAATCCTAAAACCACATGACCCACATCTACACCCTCTCTAGTTTTGTTTGTTTGTTTTTGGGACACTAATTCTTCATCTGTGCTGAAACAATCAAAGGCTGATGTGCTATGACAAAATAAAGGTGCAAATGGTCTTTATTTTAGTAATGAGTAAATTTCTTAACAAAAATATATATATATATATACACATATATATATATGACCCTGGAGCACAAAAGCAGTCTTAAGTCGAAAGATGATTTTCTCAATATTTAGATTTTTTTGCACCCTCAGATTCCAGATTTTCAAATAGTTATATCTCAGCCAAATATTGTCCTATCCTAACAAACCATACATCAATGGAAAGCTTATTTATTCAGCTTTCATATGATGCATAAATCTCAATTTCACAAAATTTACCCTTATGACTGGTTTTGTGCTCCAGGGTCACACACATATATATATATAGTACAAGTACGCATCTGACGTTACATCCTCAGCTAATGCTCCTGTACGCCTCACATTTATAATTTTTTTACTTTTAGTCTGAGTTAAATCTATTTTTTGCCTAATTTTATCTGTAAAAGAAAACCTGCCCAATAATTATGCACACCTGAACATAAGGAGTTTTTCCACTTCCATCCTTCATAGACAATTATATATCACTTATAAATGATCAAATACAAAATGAATAGTAGTTATTAAGATTGATGTGGTTTGGAATTGGTGAAATGTGCTTGGAATAAAAATATGATCAGAATATCAACGTGCCTAATAATTATGCACGCACTGTATATGCTATATGTGGTGTGTTTTTGTGAAATCCAGAGACTTTTGAGGCCGGTTCTCGAGCTGTCGGCAATCGTGTTTAAACGTGAAGCATGTTCAAATACGTACCATCTGCGCAGCCAGCGTGCTGGAGAACTCACTGTTCATGGCATAGGGCAGCGCGGTCTGAGCTCGCGAGCCGTAGGTGGTCTGGAAGCGCTTCTTCACCTCGCTGAGGAAACCGAAGGCACGCGAGCGCTCAAACTCCTGCAAGAGCGACGCACAGCTCAGAACGGCACCGCACCGCACCGCAGCCGGACACAAACACAGCTCTGGCACAGATACTCACGTCATCGGTGATGCACAGGTAGACGATCCTCTCGTGGCAGACGTAGTGGAAGAGATAGCTGGAAAACAGCAGAAGCGCAGGACATCAGAGCGGGCCTCACTCAACACTCACAGCCCAACAGCTCACCCTCAGCCGCACCTGCCGTGGGAATACGTCAGCTTGTTGTTCTCCGACGGGATTCTGGCCAGGATCTGTTCCGTCACCTCCAGAAAGTTTCCGGAGAAGCAGGCGTGTTTAGCCAGAACAGTGGACCCTCGAGCCACCACCGCAAACAGGATAGCCATCACAGCTGACCCCACACGGACTCACACACCATACAAGACCAGTCCTGAAAATACTGCAGATTTCATCACAGTTTATAATATAATACACCTCTGTATATATCCACTCTGCGGTGATAAGAAGTGTCAATACGGACATGCAGACATCTGTAATTTTGTTTAAGAGTGTAGCGTATTGTGCAAAACTGAGTTTATGGAGTATTATGTATCCTACATGTGTCTGTCAAAGGAGTGCTGAAGATAAAATATTACAAAAACAGGACTTTTATCCCTCACACGCTGATGTGGTCACAGATTTCACAATGACAGCAGCAGAAACTCAAAAGGAAATTGCCATCATTTACTGTATTGGTTGGGTTTCTGCACATTGGTTGGACAACATGACTTGTTCAGATGTTAATCAGCAGATCTGTTATTTTTCTTTAATAACTCTGGATGTGTTTCGTATCGAGTAACATTAGAATAGATGAATCCATTAGAGCATTTCACTGACATTAATCCCAGCATTACATGAATGTAACACATGACTGAATCTGACTCTGTGGCTTTGAGTGGAGTTTGTGCTTTATTTTCCTCTGCTGAACTACACTGATGAGCTCAGTCTGTCGATGCAGGACTGGTGCACAGACCAGAGGATTCTCGTAGATCTGATGAGATTATTAATCAGATCTTCATCTGCTTTGTGCGACTTACCTGGAATCCTGAAGATGAACAGCCGCTCGCGCTCCGCTCTTTGACGTCTTTACAGCGCAGTGGCATAGACAGCACTTTCACTGCCTGGCAAACATGGTTGAAATCATAAATAAATGCTATCGTTACAAATAACGCCGTTCTGTGCAAGTCGAAAAACATCAACAAACAGTCACTGCGTTCCGCGTGACGTCACATGCGTGCGACCGCGAGACTTCCGCTTTGGTCACGCGCGCGCAGATGCATTATCTGCACATTTTCTTTGTTTTTTTTTTTAATGCATCTTTCTATAGGCCTGTGTGTGTAAATAGAAATAAAGTCAAATAAAATATTTAGGACTTTAACAAAGAGTCAGTGCTTCATTAGATTTCTATAACTAAAAATAATAATAATAATAATTAAAAAAACTCTCCAGGCATCTTTAGGTTAAGTCCCAGCATCTGAACTGGCTTAAGAATACACATATTTTAGGATGTTTTGGGCCATCTTTGGTGTGATTGCATGCATCATGAACTGCTGTCCTGTAAAATCTCCTGATAAACCTGATAAAATGCTTTCATGGCCTTTTCCAGCTTTGTCTATTTCTATAATGCATTTTTAAGCGTTTGGGGTGAAGGCTTTCTTGGGAAGACCACGTTTGTCAGTAACCAGGCTTTGTGTGCCTTTATTTAAAGGGGTCATATGATTCGATTGAAATTTTTCCTTTCTCTTTGGAGTGTTACAAGCTCTTGGTGCATAAAGAAGATCTGTAAAGTTGCAAAGACTAAAGTCTCAAATCCAAAGAGATATTCTTTATAAAAGTTAAGAGTTAACCACGCCTACCTAAAACGCCTCGTTCTAACACGCCCCACATGTCTAC